AATTACTACACATAAACTAATCAAATTCATATTAAGATACATTTTTAAATAATATTTTCAATCAAACCATTAATTTTAGAATAGATTTGAATATAGATTAAAATATCTCAAAAAGACATCATAATTTGAATATTAAATGTAAAATTCATAAAACTTTGCTTTCATTTCATTAAGTTAAATTTGAGTCCCATAATTCTTTGATATTTTTTAAACCTAAAATTCGCATCTAATAACCATCATTCTTTTATTCTTTCTCCTCTTTCAGTAAAATATCTAAACATTTTTTTTTAAATCTTTGGTTAATGGTTACAAAGCAATTTAACTTAAGTGATTAATAGAAAACAATATTTCTTTGATTAGGATACCACAAAATATTTTGGATTAGAGTTATTCAATTTTAGGATTTCATTTATATCAGAAACAGTATTAATATCATCTATTAATTTCATTGACTATTGAATTTATAATTTTAATTGTCAATTATATCCATAATTTATTTTCTAATTCTATAACTTATTTAATCAAGGTTAAATTGAGAAATTTACTTTTTCTAATTTTGATTTAATATAATATTTAAAATTATTAAAAGGTCTCTTTCCATAAATTTATTATAAATTTCTTCCTTTCCAAACTTATGAATGCCTAATTATTGAATTTTAACTAAAATGGAGCTTCAATTTTAGGTACTATCTTAACAAGAGTATATTTTGACTTGATTTAATTATGATGAATTTGTGAACAGATTTTATTTTCTGAATAATTGAATTATAAATTACAGAATTAATTTATAATTTATTTTACAAAACAAATAAGACTCAATTATTCTAATTCTTTAATTAGTCTGATAAACCTTCTGAGATAATTTTATCAAAATTTTAATACTCCAGTATTTGGAGACCAAGAGGATAATTATCTTTAAATTTGGTTTACCGTTAGACCCTTTTTAATAATAACTTATACTTTTGAAGTTCTTTACTTTATGGTTATTACAATGTTATAAATTTGTTATTCCAAACTTTTGTCAATTAATTTGTATCTCAATGATAGGGTCATTAAAATATTATTTTAGATAATCAACAAAAAAGAAAAAAATAACAATAAAAAAATATCAAAAGTTGATTCTTTAATATATCTTAGAATAATGTAGGAAATAAATTTAGAGAATGATCAATACTTTAAATTGAAAATTTGATATTGGATGAATACTTAAATAAAAAAGATATAGAGAGGCAAAAATAAGTGAAATCAATTTTATCAAATGAAATTTATCCTTGTTGTGAAGAAATTATTACTTGAAAATAAGTTAAATCTATGAATACTTATTAAGGTGATTGAACGATATTTTAATACTAAATTTGATCTAAAATCTAAATTTACAGAATTCAATTAAATTATCCAAGTTTATCCTAATACAAAAAGTTAGAAGAAACATTTTGCTTTATTAATAAATACAATTATTTATTGATAAAGTTAAAATTTTAATAGTGCTTAATCTAAATTTATTTTAATTATTATTAAATTTAAATATTTTTATTGGAACATATATGATTAAATCTATTGTAATTGTTCAGATTCAGAATGGCTTCGTATAGTTTCATTAAAAAATTTTGTAATTGAAGATCAAACAACGGATCCCATAAATTTCATTCTAATTTTACAAAAAAACTTAAGAAATTTTTTTATAGAAAATTCTAGAAGAAAAATTATATGTAAATGGTAATGATAATAATTAAATAGATAAATTTTAGAGATAAGTTTAACTGTCTTAATTAGAGTTACTCTGAAAATATTAGAAAAAGTTTTTAGAGCTAGCATATTTTATTAAATGCTGTTGTAGGTTAGTGTACTTAATTGAAATTTTATATCTTATGGTCAAAGTTGGTTGCATTTTGATATTTGCAATCTTCATAACTTCTATACAAAAACAATATAATAATAGATTACCAAGATTCTTAACTGAATTATCATTATAAATTGTTCTCACTTAACAAAAATAGAGATTTGACATATAATCCAAAAGCTAAAGAAAGTGGTTCTAGAGTCTACTCTATTTTGGATTTATTAAAATATAAATCACTAAGTTATTGCTTACATCATTTAATTAATTTAAAAAAAAATTTATAATAATTTAATTTAAAATTGAAAAAAAAATCATTTATCAGATCAAGCTTTTTGATTTTAATGTAAATATAAATTTTCAATTAGATGTTAATTATGTATTCAATTAAATTAATCTTTCTTTTATTTGAAAAATATTTTCTATTGATTCCCTTTTTATGTTCTGATTATGATTGTTTTACACTTTCTTCTAAATTATTAAGATCATTAATTAAATTATCACATTCCTTATTTTTCTTTTCAATATAATCTATCAAACTGTTTGTTTTTTTAACACATTAACATGAGCATGATGGATTACTATCTGAATGCGTTTTAACACAATTTAATCTAAATTATGTAAAAAATTAATGATAACAAACACTATCTATATCATCCTAATGATCATCTTTCCAAAATTTTAACTTTTACATTCCTTATTAACCCATTTTTTTATTTATTAAATCTTATTTCAAATTATCTAATCAAAACTCATTGTTTTATTCTATAAACGTGCCTTTTATAAAAACATTATCTTCTTTATTAAACAAATAACAATTTTTTCTAAAATTTTTTAAGGAACATCACCTTTCACAAACTCATATTTTGCTGACTAAAAGAAATTTATCCAAAAAGACATAATAACTTAAAATATGGATTTGTGCATTGATTTATTTTATTAATTCTTATTTTTATACTAAATTACAAGCTCAGGGACGTTATGTAAGTGTTTAATATGATCTATATATAATTTTTAGATTATTATTAAATTCTCTATCTCATTTAAATAATTCAATTAGAAAATAAATCAAAAATCATATTATAATATAATTATAATATTCTTATATCTCTAGTATTTAATTTTGAGAATTAATCTATAAAGATGTCGTAATTAATATTATATTAAAAAAAATGATTATGATAATTAATTTTCATGATATTAGTTTATAATATCATTTAAAACTTTATCTAATTAAAAGAGACTAAAATCTTTCATTCTATTAAAAGATATTAAAATTAACATTTTTTAAATCTTCATTTGAACTAGGAGAGTAATCCTAATTAATTAATTTTGAACTTATTTAAAAAACTTTAATATTAATTCTTGCAATTAAAAAGTTTAATTGATTTGGATCATTATAAACTTCAAGATTTTGCTCATTTATCATTTATCAAAAATGATTAGAAACTCACTGTTAATTGGAATATATTTGAAATTTTCTTAGTTGATAAGAATCTTTAGTGTTAAAAATATGATGAATTATAAATAGGATTAGATTTTAATTTAAATAATGTCTTATAATTGAATAATGATATAGATTATTGGACAGAATTCATCAAATTATTTGATTACACTCATCAACAAAGGGAATGTAATTTGATATGTTTTTATATACATATGAATATTTTTAGTAGTTGATTAAATGAAAAATGTATTTATTTTATGATAGTATATTTAAATATAATAAGAATCATAAAATTTTCTCATAAATTTTAATTATTCTTAATTGTAAATGAAATTAGAAATGAATTTCAAATTGATATAAAGTATCCTCTTAAAAAATTGAAATTGAAAAGTTAACTGTTGGCATTTTTGAAATTATATAATATTGAATTTAAATTATCATTTATTCCTAAGAAATTACTTATTTATGTAATTTTAAATTGAAAGGCTTATTTTATTGTTAAAATAGGAAGGAAATATCAGAATTAACTTTCATATAAGCAATATATATATATTTTAAATAAGGTAGATTTATTCAAAAGTGAATTCGATTTTCTTTCCATAATTAATTTATTAGTTATTAATAAATATTAGAAAATAATTTGCTATTTCTTAAGGATCATTTTTTCGATATAAATATTAATAATAATACATCAATATTTCTCAAAAAAACTCAGTTTAATGGCAATTAAATTGAATTTTAAAGTTAGATGTGAAACTACTCTAAGTGAGTCTGTGTGCATTGTTGGAAGTGTTAAAGAGTTAGGCTTATGGAACCCTTCAGATAGCCTACAATTATCTACAAACCCAGATATTTATCCATTCTGGGTTGGTCACATATCTGTTGATGTGAATGAGAGTATAAAATTTTGTGAAAATAGACTAACTTATTTAGTTTAAAGCAATAATAACAAAAGGACATTAGGTTAATTGGGAGGATAATGACAATAGAGTAATTTAAATTAGGTACCAATCCCAGAGCATTCTATTTTCATTTAACTCCCAATTATTGTAAGTTATTCAAATATAATCATTATATGACCTTTCTGATGATGAATCAATCAAATTTGGTATATTTTTATAACGATTTATTAGATAAGATAAAAAAGATAAATCTTCAAAATGTTATGAATCCTTTCGATTAAGAGGGATTCACATCTGTATAAATATTTTTATATCGTAGGAATCTGATTAAGAGAGTGACCGTCTTTCAAATTTAGATTCACATGGACTTTCACCAATTATGAAATCTCTTTCTATTTAATATCAGGAAGAATCGTTTGAACTTCCTGTCCAATAATGAATACATAATTTAACACACTTTATATTTATTGAATCTTATTTATTTAATATTCATTTGAGAAAAAAGATTATTATTTTCTAGCAGTTATAGATAAATAAATATTTATCAATAGTCTCGTTCTCTATTTTCAGCCTTCACTTACATTAAATGAAATTAGGAAGTGATTTAAAATTGATGATAAAAGTATTAATAATAAAGAATAAATTTTATTTGATGATAAAATTGTATGTCAAAAATCATATAAGAGATTCAATAAATAAGTACTATTAATATATTATATTTCTATAAATAATATATTATATATTAGTTCTGAGAATGATTTCTTACTATCCTAAAATTTGTAGTATTTGAAAATATAAAAAATATAATTTATTATCAAAATCCTGCATAAGCTTTTGGTTATCTTTATAATCTCATTATTTATTCAAGTAAATCCCTTTCTCTTGCTTATAAAAATTCTACACGTTATTATAACTAATTATTTGTTTATTTCAATTAAACTATTTCATGTAAATCATTTGGATCACTACTCTTTCCATTAAGATTTTTTCTAGCTATCTATTAAATTCAATTCAATTTTATACTTAAGCTAACTCCATATTTTTTTCTTCTAAAGATGCCACTTTTTTTTTTAAATCACTATTTTCTATTAATAATGCACTAGACATATATTCTTCTTAAATTNTGACCTTTCTGATGATGAATCAATCAAATTTGGTATATTTTTATAACGATTTATTAGATAAGATAAAAAAGATAAATCTTCAAAATGTTATGAATCCTTTCAATTAAGAGGGATTCATATCTGTATAAATATTTTATATTATAGGAATCTGATTAAGAGAGTGACCGTCTTTCAAATTTAGATTCACATGGACTTTCACCAATCATGAAATCTCTTTCTATTTAATATCAGGAAGAATCGTTTGAACTTCCTGTCCAATTAAATATAATGAAATCCTATGATTTACTATGTCAGAAAAATTATTTCCATAATTTAAAAATCATTATTAGCGTATAGATCATCCTTATCACAATTGTTCCCTTAATTATAAAGAATAAATTGCAGCAAATAATCTCGAGAAGCATAAGCATGGCTTGATTTAATAACTCTGTAAATTGTTATCTATTTTAATTCTCTGATCGATATCTATAATATTTATTTTTTCACATATCTGCTAATTATAGCAAATTTTCTAAATTTATTACTTTTATTTATGCTATTTAGATAATAACACTTTTAAAAAAATTATAAACTAGGATTTATTTTAATATTAGTTTACTTGAAAAAAAAACAGTTTATTTAAAGTAAAAAAGATATATTTGACAAAAATATATATATGAATTTATTAGAACTAAAATAGAAAATAAATATTAAAACTAATCTTAAATGTTTGCCTTAAATGATTCCTTTAATAACTCATTTTTAATTAGGATTCAAATATATATATACATAAAATAATTTTTCCCGTTTTGATATAGAAGTTTATTTAATACTATTTGAAATAAAGCTACATATCAAATAATAAGGCAGATAGTATTTATTTAGTAAGGGATATTAATATATTGCTAAATACTGGAAGGAATAAATAAATTTTTAAATTAAAGTAGAATAGAGCGAATTATCTTAATTGCCCATTTTATTACATTAGTAATTTTTTGCCTTTAGAATATATTTATTGTAAAAAAAATTTAATGATGGAATGAAATTCAATGCTATTCTTTATTCAATATTTTTTTTTGAATCTTGATGAATAAGTTTAAAATCAAGATATGATTTCAATCAAAGTTAACGAAAACCTAAATCAATTTACAAGACATCAATTTAATTTAAAATTATGTAATAATTTAGGGATATTTCGGTGTTGGTTAAAATGTTAAAGAATCATCAATAGAAATCACAAAATAGTCTTTCAAAATCTCATTTTTTTTAATTATTAGAGAAGAAATAAATTTAAGAAATTTTTTATTACAAACGCATCATTGAATCATCCTTATTTTATATGAATTTATAAACAAATAATAAATTTTCAACTTAAATATCTTAAAAGATTTAAAAAAACCATATTGAGACTTAAATATTTCTTTATAATATTCTGAAAAAATTAATGTGTAATATGTATTGAAAATTTAGGGAGAGGTTGAAATAATCAAAATGATCTAAAACATATTATTAATATAAAAAAAAATTTATGAATCACTGGTTTAATAATTAATTTATCAATGATATAATTATCTTAATAAATGTGATAATTAAATGTATTTCTTTATTTTATTTAATAATTCAATTCAATATTGTTATTCATCTTGTATTTTTTAAGCTTCAAATTCTTGTTTCATTTTTTCGCCTAAATGATGAACCAACGAATTTCCGTTTTAATCTTGAATGATTGAATTTTTTACTAAGCAATTCTATGTCAAGAATTATCGTAATTATGGATATGATTTATAAAAACCAAAATACTATAATAAAATAAATATTCTAATACTTTTTAATTTTAATTCCAACATTTTTATTTATCAATTGTTATGATTTATATGAGACCTCCTGATAATTCTAATGCTATATCTAAATTATTAGGAGAGACAACTATTGATTCAATATTCTAGTCTATTTAAATCGATTATATTAATTTTTCTTTTTTATATTGATACTCCCAAAATGAAATAACATTGTCTTAAGAACATGAAATAAGTATTTTATCATCCTAAGTGTAAAGAATATGTTTAATTGCTTGTTTATTTTTAATAGAAAAATCATATTGTACCTAAGTATATATATAATAAATAGATATGCTACCATCATCCCAACCTAAAGCAAGTTATTCACCATTATTTTTAAAAGCTACAATCATTTTATCTATATTTCTATCAATAACCTTATTATTCTAACCATTTCTTAAGTTATAGATATTCAAAGTTTATTCTTCCCTATTTTTTAAAAGAATATAATCTTATTTATAAATGTTAAGGAATTCTTAAGATTTATCCAATTTAATGATTTTTAATTATTTTTCATAACGTTCTAAATCAATAACTCTTAATTAAGAGTTATAATAATAGGTTATATATTTTGGTCCAACTTAACATAAATGGATAAAACTACTATTATAGTCATTCAAATCAATTTTAAGATGAATAAAAACTTCCTTAATAGGCTATCCATGTTCATTTACAAAATCTTCGACTTTATATAATGATAAAAGATTCGAATCTTTATAGCATACAAAAATATAGCCATTTTTTTAATTTAAACCATAAAATTCATGTTCTTTATCAATTTTTATCTTAATATATTTATCAATATTATGATATCCATAAAAAATTTCATCTCTCTATAAATTATTAGTATCAATAATTTGTTTTGATTTTACATCTAAAATATAAATTTTATCGAATTTTTCATCCTATTATTTTTGATATAAGGCAATTTTAGAACCATTTGAATAAACATAATGCCTAAAACTTTTGATTTCTTATCGATGTACAATTAATTTATAAAATAACTCATAACTTTTGAAATCTTTCAAATCATAAATAAAAAGTTAACCTTGAGACTAAATTGTAATTCCAATAGAGTGATGTAATTTTACAAAATCGCATTTATTGAATTTGTTCCAACCAAAAGTTGAAAAATTAGAACAATAAAATAAGAATCTTTAATTTTCTATATTTGGATCTTTAATAATTAATTTATCTTCATTTTCCAAATTCCATACTATAATTTGATCAGTATCTCTAGATATCATATATTTTTCATCTTCAGAAAAACCAATAAAAAAGATCTAATATTAATGACCTTTAAACTATTTTAATGGAATGCAACTTTTCATCATCCATATCGTAATCGACCAATCCTCTGTTGATACAGTATAATATTTAGTTTCATTAGGGCAAATGCCAGAATAATGAATTTTTTGGTTATTATTATGAAGTATTGTATCATAGATACCCTGTTAAAATTCCTTTATGTCATATAAACATAATATATTATTTTAAATTTCTGAAATAAACCATTGTTTATTCGAAATTTTTTTTGTTTAATGTTAAAGGATAGGTATTGTGAAAAGATTTTCTACATTACTTAAATCTGATACATCCCAACAATTTAGATAATATTCAAGTTTTCTATACCCACAATTTTAATATGCTTAAAGAGGAGATTCTTATTGATTAAAACTTATTAAATAATTGCTTTCTGGTAAAACTGATACATTGTATTATCCTTCTAATTTTTCAGGACTATATTTGGAGTGACGATTGAATAAACTCTAAAATATTACCTTTTTATTTTATTCATATATTATATATTGTCCATCACTTGTAAATTATGGATTATAAGCATTAAAATCATAATCTTCTGGATTATACAATTCAATATTTATTTCTGGTTTAGAAATTTAAATAATTGATTTTTCAATTTTAGCTATATCTAAATTTGATGATGCTCGTGTACTAGCATATTATCTACCTTTAATTTTCTTAATTTAATTTTCTTAGCACTATATTATTTGAATATCATTAGAAGAAATAGCTAATATTTAATTAGGATTTTATAAAAATCTAAGGTCAAATAGATCTTATTTATAATCAAAATTATATATATTTTTGATATTATCTTACCAATCGTAATATTTTATTTAATTATTATTACTTATGGCAAAATACTTCGAATCAATTGAGGTGCAAAAGAATTTAGCTTCAAGTTATAGTTAAAGTTAAGGCCTTTAAAGTGATGTAAAATAGATTAGATCATCAATTTTTAATGCTATCAATTTATCATTGTGATTTAATATAGTGTCTTTATAATTGTAATATTCAAGAAGTTAATTAACTTAGAATTCGATTTTAACAGATTAATTATTTTGAACTAATTAATTATTTCCAAAATAGTTATCAATAGAATATATTGATTCTTCTTCTAAATTCAATTTATATTAATAAAGGCCATCTTAACTTTGAATAATAATTTATTAAGTATCTGAAATTTAAATATCNAATTTGCTGATGCTCGTGTACTAACATAATATCTACCTCTAATTTTCTTAATTTAATTTTCTTAGCACTATATTATTTGAATATCTTTAGAAGAAATAGCTAATATTTAATTAGGATTTTATAAAAATCTAAGGTATAATAGATCTTATTTATAATCAAAATTATATATATTTTTGATATTATCTTACCAATCGTAATATTTTATTTAATTATCATTACTTATGGCAAAATACTTCGAATCAATTGAAGTGCAAAATAATTTAGCTTCAAGTATTAGTTAAAGTTAAGGCCTTTAAAGTGATGTAAAATAGATTTTATCATAAATTTTTAAAGCTATCAATTTATCATTGTGATTTAATTTAGTGTCTTTATAATCGTAATTTTCAATAAATTAATTACCTTAGATTAAGATTTCAATTTTATAAGATTAATTATTTTGAACTAATTAATTATTTCCAAAATAGTTATCAATAGAATATATTGATTCTTCTTCTACATTCAATTTATATTAATAAAGGCCATCTTAACTTTGAATAATAATTTATTAATTATCTGAAATTTGAATATCTTTGATTTCGATTTCAATAAATAATTTTGATATTTATATTATTTATGGTCCTTTAGTAATATAATAAATAGTAATTTCTTAATTATAAGTTGATGCTAGGAAATAACCACTATTTGATAAAGTAAAATGGTGTAACTTTCCTTAAATTTACTTTTTAATAGTTTCAGTTGTAAATATTTATTCTGGTAGTATGTGAATAACCTATATATCCTTTATTGTTTCAACTGCAATTATCAAATACTCTCGTTCTCTTATTGCAAATGCACAATATTCTAATTTTCGGATTACTTACATATCACTTACATTTTTAATTTCTAAAATATTAGAAGACTCTTCAGAAAATATGATATATTCTTCGTTAACAAATTCTATTTTCTTATTTTGTTCATTGAAAATTACAACTTTAGCCTAATCACCTACAATCAAAGGCTTAAGAATAATATTTTCTCCTTATTTGACTGCCAAGTATTCTTTTTGAACTTATTATAAATTAATATAATTATAGTTTTGTTGAGGTATGAGATAGACAATGCTCATTTATTAATCAAAAATACCATTTTGAACACCATATTCAAAATCATGATATTTAAAAACTTAAACTAGTAATTGTTATGAGTCTATATTCCAAATAATTTTATACCAAATAATTGAAGTTTAAGTCTAAATAACGAGTACATTATCATCTTCCTTCACAAAAAACAAGTCAAGACATTTTTTATTTTTTATCATATAAAATTTTTATTTTTTATCAACACAAAACCTATATATAACAATAGAATTATCATTACTACAAGAAGCAAGATATTATTCTTTTTCACTAAACATAATTAAATAAATGTCTTTTTCTTGTATCTATTCAAGTAAGGTTTGATCATCATTTTATAAATCTTTAATTGTAATAATATTATCAACACAGTAACAGATTTTTTTCCCATAATTACATAAAGCATAACAACCAATTTTTTAATCCTCTTAAAATTCATACAATTTAATCAGATGATATTTTATTTGATTCTCAAATATTTAGACCTTATAAATATTAATCTATTTCTCATTCTCCTAAACAGCAACTTCGCATGTTCCTTCATTCTCATTATATTTATATGATTATTTCAAATTTTACACAAATCCTTTGATAGATCTTTGAAGAACACGGCTTCTACTAAATGGATTCTATTTTCTAAAGGGATCCATATTATTGCTAACAAATTTTTATTCTTCATTCTAATAATATGAACATATAGACCAAAACCTAATTGTATTATCTTTGTTATAAGTAATCATAAGGTTATGAGTGATAATATCCATAGACAATGGTTGACATTAATTTAGTGGAATTTCACCTATACAGATGTTAAGATATTCATAAACCTCAATACAATTTTCCTTAGCAATAAATAATAATCTAAATTATTCCCATTCATAATTAATAAAGGCTATGCAATTTGAATCACAAAATGTTATGTCTTCTTCTAATTTATTGATTTAATTTAGATCATATAATACTATATATTCATTTATGATATAAACTAAATGTTTTTTATTAAAAATTGAATATCTTGGTAATTAGCCATTAATCGTTTGTGAATGTAATGCTTTGACTTATTTGTATCCATAACCATGATCATTAAGCCATACAATTACTTAGTCTTCACTAGCTGATATGAGTAATGAAATTTATCTTTTCTTGTCAAATATTTCTTATTAGTTTATTTTTAAGTCAAAAGTTTCTTCAGAAAGTGATACTATTTCACTTTAGTGATCCTTTTTTGTGATTGTTTTTGAGATGTTTTTGATGATCCCATCCCAAATCTTTATTTCTCTGTCTTTTGTTCCTATCAGTATTTTATCATTGGATATTAGCTTTATAGAAGTTAATTTAATTGAATTATCAGCAATTTTTGATTTGTTCCATTATTGTTTGGATTTGAGATTATAACTATAAAAATTCGAATTTCTACGATATACTAATTTCTCTTCCTTATTGTAAAAAGTAAATGGAAAATTTCTCAATTACAGTTGACCTAATTATAATGGAATAGTTATTAATAATGTTATATCGTTCCCATAAATACAGTAAATCTATAAAAATGTCTCAGTGCCTAGGTAAAATTTAGTTGAATCAGATGAAAACCGCCAATAGCATAAATTTTGATTATATTTTATTTTCTTAAATATTTTTTGAGTGATTAATTCCCATATATTTACTTAAGATGAGCCATAAGAAAGTAAGAATTAACCATTTGGTGAGAATAATATACTACTCACTTTTTCTTAATGTTAGTCTCTGAAAACTATAACTCCATTCCAAGGTGTTTAAGTCCATTTTACTCTTTATAAACTGGTATTATTAAAATTGCAATAATCAATTTTTACTTCATTAAACTCAGATTCATCCAAATTACTTCCATATACATTTAGACCAGAGATATTAGTCTTACTTAATTTAATTCTACTTAAATCTTCCCCTATTAGTTCTATTCCCAAGAAATTTAATAATAATATACTATTAGAAGCTGCTCTAATAAATACTTCGTTTCTTGATAGGATTATTATTTTTAACAAGATTTTTTTGATATCTTCATAATTTAATAATTCAGGTTTTATATCATTAATTACCTAAGAGAACTACAAAAGAGATAAATTAAATTCGTTTTAATTAAATTAACTCTGTTCCAAACCTTACTCAATTGATTTTCCTGTAAAATTTCTTGAAAAATCTTTTAACAATTTTAAAATATATTTTCCTACAAAATACTCCTAAATTGATTTATTCTGAAATATGAAGCTACCATTTTAAATCTTAGTAATAAAGGTTGAATATAGTAAAATGAGATTTTTTTTATCTTCTAAATTATTTTAGTTTAAATAAGATTAAAATATATTCTAGACTTATTAAGTGTCTAATAACAAGCATTCATGTTTAATCATTTGTACAGCTAAAAACATTTATAATTTATTTAGTTCCTTAGTAAAACTTTCATTTATGTTATTGAATCCTGAGTCTTTTAATTTTTTTATATATATTTCATAATACTTAGACACAAATAATTTATATATTTGATATTTAGTTAATTAAGTTTATTTTGCGGCATTTTTAATTAGATTAAAATCGACCTCTGAAATTTACATAATATTTTTATCTAATTTTTCAACTAAAAATTCATCAAAAAATTAATTTTTTTCTAATATGACTACTAACCTCTCAACATAATCTTTTTCACTAAATAATTTAGCTTATTCAAGTTCATTAAAATATTTAATTTATTCATTCTTTAATTATAATAGAATACACTTAAACCTATTTTTTCTATACAATTTGTTTGTAATATTTTAATTTAAATTTGGTAAGACTTAAAGAATAACTTAGAGAATTTAAATAGTTTAAATCAAATCGAAAATTTGATTTTCTTTAATAATTTTCATCAGTTTGCTAGAGCTCTATATCTTTAATAAATCTCCTTTTGGATTATTATTATTTTGAAATATTTTTTATTATTTGCTAAGAAAATTATTGATTAGAGTATCAGTGAAAATAATTTCATACTTATCATTATTAGTTTATTCTACAAGAGTTTTAACTTCTTCAAAAAAGTATGCTTGCCAATATTCATTAAACATTATTCTAGAAATTTTAGAGTTTTTTTCTTAATCTATAAAATCGTTATAGATTTGATATAAATATTATCTAGTATTTTCTATACAGTATTATTTAAGATATTCATTAATTTATGATTCATCTAATTTTAGTATTTCAACTTCAGTCAAATTTTAAAATTATAAACCTATAAATTACTTTTCAATTTAAACTTCTCTTCTTGATGTAATAATTATTTTTACATTTTTACCTAATTTTTTTTAGAATAAACTGATATCTAAGTTTACTTCTTAAATTTAATGTTTCATTTCATCTAACCCATCAAATAGTAGAACAATATTTACTAATCCATTCTCTAAGTCATCACTAAGAATTCCCATAAATTCATCTCTAAATTCCATATCATCCGCATTTAATATTAAACTCCAAATATTATTATTATTCAACTTTTTTAAAGCATCTAATGAAATGAGAAATGGAATCCATTTTTTTTATTTTGAATGTGAATGATAGTGTTTCAATAAAAATAATTATAATCGCTTTAAAAAGTAACTCTTACCTGATCCTGCTATGCCTTTTATCCATAGAACATCAGTATTGTTGTTTTCAGTCCAAAGAAAATCATTAACTATATATATCTATTCTTATTTAACACCTTAATCTACATCTTCCCTAAATAAATAGTTGGACTTATTTGATTGTTATTGTTTTTTTACATCATCATTATTTATGTTACTTTAGACTTTTAAATCAATATTTATAAAATCCTCTTATAATTTTTCTATTTGTGTATTTCCATATATTTTATATAAATAAGTTTATTAATTTTATTTTAGGTTTTGTTCAAAAGCTTCCTCAATAACATTAAGTTGTTCATTTTTTAAGACACTTATTGTATTTTCATCTTAATCACTATTTAAAAATAGATCAATAAATTTTTGGCAAGCTGATTCTACATTTTTTGCTATTTAACTTTTTTTAATTGTCATAAAACTAAATGCTAAATAACATTTAATTGTAGAGTCCCATTTTGACTTAATATAATGTTCCCATATATTAATATTATCTTCAATCTAAAATTCTATCAATTGATTTTATAGTTCATTAAACATTATGTTTGTGATATCATCCCCTTCAAATTTTTGCAAATCTTCTAAAAAACTATTTTTTTATGAAATTAACTCAAGAAGCATTTAAAGAAACCCTAAGTGTACTCTCCAGTTTTAATTATTTTGAATACATAATTGATAGACTTTGCATAAATAATTAATAATTTATTAGATTTCTATAATCTATTATTAATTTAACAGTTTTCTAATTATTGTTAATTTTGATTATTAAAAAAAGTAAAATATATCTAATTATCTAGGGTTATCACTTTATAGAAATTTTTTTGCATCTTAAATTAAAGTATTATTTGCATCATTTTACTTTAGATATGTATTTTATTCGAAAATACATTTCTATAAGTTGTATGCTTTTCTATCTTATATATGATCAACTACATCTTTTATCAAACAAAATTAGTAATTAAAAAGTATTTCTAAACCTTTTTATTATTGATATTTTTAGTTAATTAATTATAAATTATCTGAAAAAATGTGCAAATTTTTAATTATATTACTTTTAATAACCTTATCTTGATAGTAAAGAATTTGAAATAGATTTTGAGTAAATTATAGCAAATTATAAGATAGCTGTATAGGTGTATTTATTACACATGATAATAGAATGTCAATAGATGCCATAACTATAGCAATTTTTCTTTCATCTAGCCTACATTAATTAAATAACTAATTAATAATTCCTTTCGAATTTATCCATTAGACCACTTTTTCTAATTAATCCCTCCCATTTTAGTTTATTTAATTTCCTAATATTCTTTGAAGAAGAATAGTGTGATATTTTAAATATTAGAAAATATCTTATTCATCAAAAATATCATTTAGATTTCTATTCTATTAAATTTGGGGATTAGGCTATGAATTTCCTCCTCCTCTTAATTTATTAATGTTATTTTGAAAGGTGTAAGATTAATTAATTTAATTGTATAAAATTGATTGATGATCATTATTCGATTCATTAAGGACATTCAGCCTTGTATTTTCTTTATCAAAGCTTTAAGAAATAGGATTCTAATAATTTTTTTTCATTTTTTAGATATATTAAATAATGTGCCAAGAATATTAATTTTTATTTTTCTATCCCTGATTTAAAATAAAAATTTAAGAAATATCTTAATTAATTTTCTTTGTTTATTATTAATAATGCTATTAATGATTTGCTTATTTAATAGAATTGATGATTTCATAACACTTATGTTTAAAAAAACTAGGATCGTATTGGTTTAACTGTAATATTTGTTGTCATGATAATAATTTAATCATATTATATAAATTTGAAGATTTGATATAGTTTTGGAATTTGTGAGAAAATGTAAATATTAATGAATTGCAATTGCAATTAAAGAATAATAAATACTACTTCATTGATAGTTATTAACAATAATTACTTTATTCTCCTAAATCTTTATATTCTAATGCTCTTGTTAAGGGTAATGTTTGAGGATAAACCTTTTCTTATTCTAATTCAATTTTGATGTCTCCTAAATATAATTCATTATATTCTTCAATTGACATAAATCTTTTATGTAGTAACATGTTGATATCTTCCAAAGTAATGGGAACGAAACATAATTAAATAAATGTCTTTTTCTTGTATCTATTCAAGTAAGGTTTGATCATCATTTTATAAATCTTTAATTGTAATAATATTATCAACACAGTAACAGATTTTATTCCCATAATTACATAAAACATAACAACCAATTTTTTGGTCCTCTGGAAATTTATAATCTTTAATCAGATCATATTCTATTTGATTCTCAAATATTTAGACCTTATAAATATTAATCTAGTTCTCATTCTCATCCTAAACAGCAACTTCGCATATTCCTTCAATCTCATTATATTTATATGATTATTTCAAATTTTACACATATCCTTTGATAGATCTTTGAAGAACATGGCTTCTACTAAATGGATTCTATTTTTTAAAGGCATCTATATAAATGCTATAAAAATCTTATAATTCATTCTAATATTGTTAACATATAGACCAAAACCTAATTGTATTATCTTTGTTATAAGTAATCATAAGGTTATGAGTGATAATATCCATAGACAATGGTTGACATTAATTTAGTGGAATTTTACCTATACAGATGTTAAGCTATTCATAAACCTCAATACAATTTTCCTTACCAATAAATAAAAATCTCAATTAACCCCATTCATTATTAATAAAGGCTATGCAATTTGAATCACAAAATTTTATGTCTTCTTCTAATTTATTGATTTAATTTAGATCATATAATACTATATATTCATTTATGATATAAACTAAATGTTTTTTATTAAAAATTGAATATCTTGGTAATTAGCCATTAATCTTTTGTGAATGTAATACTTTGACTTATTTGTATCCATCACCATCATCATTAAGCCATACAATTACTTAGTCTTCACTAGCTGATATGAGTAATGAAATTTATCTATTCTTGTCATATATTTCTTATTAGTCTTTTTTTAAGTCAAAAGTTTCTTCAGAAAGTGATACTATTTCACTTTAGTGATCCTTTTTTGAGATGTTTTTGATGATCCCATCCCAAATCTTTATTTCTCTGTCTTTTGTTCCTATCAGTATTTTACCATTGGACACTAGCTTTATAGAAGTTAATTTAGNTACCTTTTTATTTTATTCATATATTATATATTGTCCATCACTTGTAAATTATGGATTATAAGCATTAAAATCATAATCTTCTGGATTATACAATTCAATATTTATTTCTGGTTTAGAAATTTAAATAATTGATTTTTCAATTTTAGCTATATCTAAATTTGATGATGCTCGTGTACTAGCATATTATCTACCTTTAATTTTCTTAATTTAATTTTCTTAGCACTATATTATTTGAATATCATTAGAAGAAATAGCTAATATTTAATTAGGATTTTATAAAAATCTAAGGTCAAATAGATCTTATTTATAATCAAAATTATATATATTTTTGATATTATCTTACCAATCGTAATATTTTATTTAATTATTATTACTTATGGCAAAATACTTCGAATCAATTGAGGTGCAAAAGAATTTAGCTTCAAGTTATAGTTAAAGTTAAGGCCTTTAAAGTGATGTAAAATAGATTAGATCATCAATTTTTAATGCTATCAATTTATCATTGTGATTTAATATAGTGTCTTTATAATTGTAATATTCAAGAAGTTAATTAACTTAGAATTCGATTTTAACAGATTAATTATTTTGAACTAATTAATTATTTCCAAAATAGTTATCAATAGAATATATTGATTCTTCTTCTAAATTCAATTTATATTAATAAAGGCCATCTTAACTTTGAATAATAATTTATTAAGTATCTGAAATTTAAATATCTTTGATTTCGATTTCAATAGATAATTTTGATATTTATATTATTTATAGTCCTTTAGTAATATAATAAATAGTAATTTCTTAATTATAAGTTGATGCTAGGAAATAACCACTATTTGATAAAGTAAAATGGTGTAACTTTCCTTAAATTTACTTTTTAATAGTTTCAGTTGTAAATTTTTATTCTGGTAGTATTTGAATAACCTATATATCATTTATTGTTTCAACTGCAATTATCAAATACTCTCGTTCTCTTATTGCAAATGCACAATATTCTAACTTTCGGATTTCTTACATTTTACTTACATTTTTAATTTCTAAACTATTAGAAGACTCTTCAGAAAATATGATATATTCTTCGTTAACAAATTCTATTTTCTTATTTTTTTCATTGAAAATTACAACTTTAGTTTAATCATCATTAATTAAAGGTTTAAGAATAATATTTTCTCCTTATTTGACTGCCAAGTATTATTTAATATAATTATAGTTTTGTTGAGGTAAGGGATAGACCATGCTCATTTATTATTAAAAAATATCATTATGACCACTTTATTCAAAATCATAATATTTAAAAACTTAAACTATTAAATCTTTTGAGTCTATATTCCAAATAATTTTATACCAAATAATTGAAGTTTAAGTCTAAATAACGAGTACATCATCCTTCACAAATAACAAGTCAAGACATTTTTAATTGTTTATCATATAATTTTTTTTTTTTTTTTAATCATCAAGACTATAGATAACAATAGAATAATCTTTACTACAAGAAGCAAGATATTAATATGTTTCACTAAACATAATTAAATAAATGTCTTTTTCTTGTATCTATTCAAGTAAGGTTTGATCATCATTTTATAAATCTTTAATTGTAATAATATTATCAACACAGTAACAGATTTTTTTCCCATAATTACATAAAGCATAACAACCAATTTTTTAATCCTCTTAAAATTCATACAATTTAATCAGATGATATTTTATTTGATTCTCAAATATTTAGACCTTATAAATATTAATCTATTTCTCATTCTCCTAAACAGCAACTTCGCATGTTCCTTCATTCTCATTATATTTATATGATTATTTCAAATTTTACACAAATCCTTTGATAGATCTTTGAAGAACACGGCTTCTACTAAATGGATTCTATTTTCTAAAGGGATCCATATTATTGCTAACAAATTTTTATTCTTCATTCTAATAATATGAACATATAGACCAAAACCTAATTGTATTATCTTTGTTATAAGTAATCATAAGGTTATGAGTGATAATATCCATAGACAATGGTTGACATTAATTTAGTGGAATTTCACCTATACAGATGTTAAGATATTCATAAACCTCAATACAATTTTCCTTAGCAATAAATAATAATCTAAATTATTCCCATTCATAATTAATAAAGGCTATGCAATTTGAATCACAAAATGTTATGTCTTCTTCTAATTTATTGATTTAATTTAGATCATATAATACTATATATTCATTTATGATATAAACTAAATGTTTTTTATTAAAAATTGAATATCTTGGTAATTAGCCATTAATCGTTTGTGAATGTAATGCTTTGACTTATTTGTATCCATAACCATGATCATTAAGCCATACAATTACTTAGTCTTCACTAGCTGATATGAGTAATGAAATTTATCTTTTCTTGTCAAATATTTCTTATTAGTTTATTTTTAAGTCAAAAGTTTCTTCAGAAAGTGATACTATTTCACTTTAGTGATCCTTTTTTGTGATTGTTTTTGAGATGTTTTTGATGATCCCATCCCAAATCTTTATTTCTCTGTCTTTTGTTCCTATCAGTATTTTATCATTGGATATTAGCTTTATAGAAGTTAATTTAATTGAATTATCAGCAATTTTTGATTTGTTCCATTATTGTTTGGATTTGAGATTATAACTATAAAAATTCGAATTTCTACGATATACTAATTTCTCTTCCTTATTGTAAAAAGTAAATGGAAAATTTCTCAATTACAGTTGACCTAATTATAATGGAATAGTTATTAATAATGTTATATCGTTCCCATAAATACAGTAAATCTATAAAAATGTCTCAGTGCCTAGGTAAAATTTAGTTGAATCAGATGAAAACCGCCAATAGCATAAATTTTGATTATATTTTATTTTCTTAAATATTTTTTGAGTGATTAATTCCCATATATTTACTTAAGATGAGCCATAAGAAAGTAAGAATTAACCATTTGGTGAGAATAATATACTACTCACTTTTTCTTAATGTTAGTCTCTGAAAACTATAACTCCATTCCAAGGTGTTTAAGTCCATTTTACTCTTTATAAACTGGTATTATTAAAATTGCAATAATCAATTTTTACTTCATTAAACTCAGATTCATCCAAATTACTTCCATATACATTTAGACCAGAGATATTAGTCTTACTTAATTTAATTCTACTTAAATCTTCCCCTATTAGTTCTATTCCCAAGAAATTTAATAATAATATACTATTAGAAGCTGCTCTAATAAATACTTCGTTTCTTGATAGGATTATTATTTTTAACAAGATTTTTTTGATATCTTCATAATTTAATAATTCAGGTTTTATATCATTAATTACCTAAGAGAACTACAAAAGAGATAAATTAAATTCGTTTTAATTAAATTAACTCTGTTCCAAACCTTACTCAATTGATTTTCCTGTAAAATTTCTTGAAAAATCTTTTAACAATTTTAAAATATATTTTCCTACAAAATACTCCTAAATTGATTTATTCTGAAATATGAAGCTACCATTTTAAATCTTAGTAATAAAGGTTGAATATAGTAAAATGAGATTTTTTTTATCTTCTAAATTATTTTAGTTTAAATAAGATTAAAATATATTCTAGACTTATTAAGTGTCTAATAACAAGCATTCATGTTTAATCATTTGTACAGCTAAAAACATTTATAATTTATTTAGTTCCTTAGTAAAACTTTCATTTATGTTATTGAATCCTGAGTCTTTTAATTTTTTTATATATATTTCATAATACTTAGACACAAATAATTTATATATTTGATATTTAGTTAATTAAGTTTATTTTGCGGCATTTTTAATTAGATTAAAATCGACCTCTGAAATTTACATAATATTTTTATCTAATTTTTCAACTAAAAATTCATCAAAAAATTAATTTTTTTCTAATATGACTACTAACCTCTCAACATAATCTTTTTCACTAAATAATTTAGCTTATTCAAGTTCATTAAAATATTTAATTTATTCATTCTTTAATTATAATAGAATACACTTAAACCTATTTTTTCTATACAATTTGTTTGTAATATTTTAATTTAAATTTGGTAAGACTTAAAGAATAACTTAGAGAATTTAAATAGTTTAAATCAAATCGAAAATTTGATTTTCTTTAATAATTTTCATCAGTTTGCTAGAGCTCTATATCTTTAATAAATCTCCTTTTGGATTATTATTATTTTGAAATATTTTTTATTATTTGCTAAGAAAATTATTGATTAGAGTATCAGTGAAAATAATTTCATACTTATCATTATTAGTTTATTCTACAAGAGTTTTAACTTCTTCAAAAAAGTATGCTTGCCAATATTCATTAAACATTATTCTAGAAATTTTAGAGTTTTTTTCTTAATCTATAAAATCGTTATAGATTTGATATAAATATTATCTAGTATTTTCTATACAGTATTATTTAAGATATTCATTAATTTATGATTCATCTAATTTTAGTATTTCAACTTCAGTCAAATTTTAAAATTATAAACCTATAAATTACTTTTCAATTTAAACTTCTCTTCTTGATGTAATAATTATTTTTACATTTTTACCTAATTTTTTTTAGAATAAACTGATATCTAAGTTTACTTCTTAAATTTAATGTTTCATTTCATCTAACCCATCAAATAGTAGAACAATATTTACTAATCCATTCTCTAAGTCATCACTAAGAATTCCCATAAATTCATCTCTAAATTCCATATCATCCGCATTTAATATTAAACTCCAAATATTATTATTATTCAACTTTTTTAAAGCATCTAATGAAATGAGAAATGGAATCCATTTTTTTTATTTTGAATGTGAATGATAGTGTTTCAATAAAAATAATTATAATCGCTTTAAAAAGTAACTCTTACCTGATCCTGCTATGCCTTTTATCCATAGAACATCAGTATTGTTGTTTTCAGTCCAAAGAAAATCATTAACTATATATATCTATTCTTATTTAACACCTTAATCTACATCTTCCCTAAATAAATAGTTGGACTTATTTGATTGTTATTGTTTTTTTACATCATCATTATTTATGTTACTTTAGACTTTTAAATCAATATTTATAAAATCCTCTTATAATTTTTCTATTTGTGTATTTCCATATATTTTATATAAATAAGTTTATTAATTTTATTTTAGGTTTTGTTCAAAAGCTTCCTCAATAACATTAAGTTGTTCATTTTTTAAGACACTTATTGTATTTTCATCTTAATCACTATTTAAAAATAGATCAATAAATTTTTGGCAAGCTGATTCTACATTTTTTGCTATTTAACTTTTTTTAATTGTCATAAAACTAAATGCTAAATAACATTTAATTGTAGAGTCCCATTTTGACTTAATATAATGTTCCCATATATTAATATTATCTTCAATCTAAAATTCTATCAATTGATTTTATAGTTCATTAAACATTATGTTTGTGATATCATCCCCTTCAAATTTTTGCAAATCTTCTAAAAAACTATTTTTTTATGAAATTAACTCAAGAAGCATTTAAAGAAACCCTAAGTGTACTCTCCAGTTTTAATTATTTTGAATACATAATTGATAGACTTTGCATAAATAATTAATAATTTATTAGATTTCTATAATCTATTATTAATTTAACAGTTTTCTAATTATTGTTAATTTTGATTATTAAAAAAAGTAAAATATATCTAATTATCTAGGGTTATCACTTTATAGAAATTTTTTTGCATCTTAAATTAAAGTATTATTTGCATCATTTTACTTTAGATATGTATTTTATTCGAAAATACATTTCTATAAGTTGTATGCTTTTCTATCTTATATATGATCAACTACATCTTTTATCAAACAAAATTAGTAATTAAAAAGTATTTCTAAACCTTTTTATTATTGATATTTTTAGTTAATTAATTATAAATTATCTGAAAAAATGTGCAAATTTTTAATTATATTACTTTTAATAACCTTATCTTGATAGTAAAGAATTTGAAATAGATTTTGAGTAAATTATAGCAAATTATAAGATAGCTGTATAGGTGTATTTATTACACATGATAATAGAATGTCAATAGATGCCATAACTATAGCAATTTTTCTTTCATCTAGCCTACATTAATTAAATAACTAATTAATAATTCCTTTCGAATTTATCCATTAGACCACTTTTTCTAATTAATCCCTCCCATTTTAGTTTATTTAATTTCCTAATATTCTTCGAAGAAGAATAGTGTGATATTTTAAATATTAGAAAATATCTTATTCATTAAAAATATCATTTAGATTACTATTCTATTAAATTTGGGGATTAGGCTATGAATTTCCTCCTCCTCTTAATTTATTAATGTTATTTTGAAAGGTGTAAGATTAATTAATTTAATTGTATAAAATTGATTGATGATCATTATTCGATTCATTAAGTACATTTAGCATTGAATTTTCTTTATCAAAGCTTTAAAAAATAGGATTCTAATAATTTTTTTTCATTTTTTAGATATATTAAATAATGTGCCAAGAATATTAATTTTTATCTTTCTATTCCCTGATTTAAAATAAAAATTTAAGAAATATCTTAAATAATTTTCTTTGTTTATTATTAATCATGCTATTAATGATTTGCTTATTTAATAGAATTGATGATTTCATAACACTTATGTTTGAAAAAACTAGGATCGTATTGGTTTAACTGTAATATTTGTTGTCATGATAATAATATAATCATATTATATAAATTTGAAGATTTGATATAGTTTTGGAATTTGTGAGAAAATGTAAATATTAATGAATTGCAATTGCAATTAAAGAAAATATTTCATTGATAGTTATTAACAATAATTACTTCATTCTCCTAAATCTTTATATTCTAATGCTCTTGTTAAGGGTAATGTTTGAGGATAAACCTTTTCTTATTCTAATTCAATTTTGATGTCTCCTAAATATAATTCATTATATTCTTCAATTGACATAAATCTTTTATGTAGTAACATGTTGATATCATCCAAAGTAATGGGAACATCATTAGCTATTTTATTTTATTATTTATCTTTTTAAGTTCTTGCACTGTGTTTAATTCCAGCATTACAAACTTATTAATATAATTCCCAAACTCTTTCTTAACACTAAGCTTCTGTTTTATCCATGTCTGATAATTGAGGACCGGTTTAAAACAAGTTTTCACAATACCACCTATCAAAACATCTAGTAGGATTGTCTTCATTCACAGTTACAATATTAATCATGCTATAAATGTTCTTTTCTTTTCTATACTCAGCATATAGATTACGCATCCAAAGATTCATAACATGTGATTAAGTTTCTACTAGATGCAAGCTAAAAAGACCTCAAATTAAAAGAAATCCAGATATTTAACCTTGAGTGTCACTCAACTCTTTAATCTAAAATCTAAAAATAATATAACTTATTTAGTCAAAACTTATTCAACATCAATTTTTTGAATAGCGCTTTCACTAAAGTAAGTAGCATAAACCATTCTACTAATTGGCACTTGCTTTTCCTCTCTTTTTTCCTTAACAATATCATATAATGAGAGTTTTTATTCAACTTGAATTTCTTAATTCATATATAATTAATTATATAATACTGATAATGAATAAAATGGAACGATATTGTAAAGTCTTTAAATATAATTTATTAAAGTTATACTTTTTATAAGACTTCTTCATTTAGCATTATGAAGCTAATAAATAGACCGGCATTTTTATTATTATTTATTGCCATGTTCTTCTAATGAAATAAAAGAAACTCAATCTCAAATGATGATTCCAATATTTCTATATATACAAGATAATTTCTATTAAAAAAACTATAAACAAACTAAAATAAAGTCTTTTCAATGTTATTTTCACAAATCTTTTTTTCCCTCGTCAATCACCTTAAGCTATTGTGTTTTCATAATTAATCAAATATTGACTTTGTTAATTTTCTATTATTAAATAATCTGTAAAATTATATATTATATCAATAATTTCTTTCATTTTATTATTTATGGAAACTATTAAATATTAAAGTATAAATAGTCCAATTAATAAACTAAACTCTTATTATAATAAATATTCTCAAATTTAGGAAATTAAATACTTGATAATTTAGTATAAGATGTATATCTTATTTTCTCTTAATTTCTTAATAATTAGATAACTAATATATTATTGTATTTAAATAAAAACTCTTCATAAACCATACATAATTAATTCATATTGGTAAGTTTAACTAAAATTTTTATAAAAATTTATCAATAATTAAAAGTCTAAAATTAAGTCATATTAAATATATATACAGAAAGAATAACTAAAATTTGATCCTAATACTTATATTTTAAGATCACCCTTTCATTCTATTGTTTAAACTTTGGCTAAATTAATGAAAATATTATAATGTGAATAATGGAATATAAAATTTATAGCGTTATTTAAATTAATAAATGTTTATGCAGAATACGATAAATGTTTTTATATATTAATGTTATTGAATTGAAAATAAGATATACTCCTTTGCAAATATTATTATAAATTGTATTCGACTTGTTGAATGTTTTATATTTTCTAATTTAATTATGTATAGGTTTATAATTGAGTATAACGAGTATGATCGTTTAGTTAGTATTGAATATCATTTTAGAGGTTAGAATGCATAATATTGAAATGATGATTTTTATGAATTAAAATGTAATCTTACGAGAAAGCATTATTTAATGTACAAGTGATAAGAAAACACTTCTTCAAAGATAGGGTTTACTAATTATATTTATTTGCTGATGAATTAGTGATGACTGATGTAACTTGATCATTAAATTAGGATCCGACTAAAAATCCAAAATACATATTGAAAACAAATTTAACAACTACAATAAAGTGGATATGCGAAAATAAAAGGATAGTGGCTTTTGAATTTTCTTATAACGGAAGACCAAAAGAAGTCTATGGACCCAAATTGAATCTTCTTAAGGAGATGCTAGCTGGAAAAGTATTTTTCAGTCCTGTGTCTGCATTTTACTAATTCCATATGGAAATAGGTAGTGGAATGACAGGATCAGTTTATAGGTGTATTTCGACAGAAAACAATGAAAACTATTTTGCAATAAAGAAAGTAGACAAGATGAAAATTACCTAAAATGATGGAGCAATAGTATTTATTCAATAAATTATAGCCTCAACTAATACATGAGCTCAGTTTATTGAACTAATTATAGCATCCAAGTATTGTAAAATTGAAAGAAACATATGTTGATGAACAAAACTATTATATAGTAATGGAATACATAAATGGGAAGACTTTATATGCAGAATTATAGAGTAGACATTATGGACTCTCAGTTAATGAAACGATTAAGATAATGAAAGTATAGTTTGAATTGAATTTTAGGAATTGTTGTAGGCAATAATATATATTCACAACAAGGGAATAATGCATAGAGATATTAACCCTTTGAATATTATGAAAGCTGAAACTGTAAAGTTGATTGATTTTGGATTGGCACGAAAGATAAGGAATTAGTTAATATTTCCAACTTCAGGAACTCCAGGATATATGGCTCCTGAAATTATAAATTTCAATAAAGACAAACTATATGACGAGAAGGCAGATATATTTAGTCTTGGTTGTGTTTTGTATAAATTGTATGTATTACCAATTAAATAAAGGTTGACAGGAGAGAACCTATTTACTACTAAACAGGGTAAATAGACTATATATTAATCTAATAAAGAAGGAGTTTTTGAATTGAAAAAATAATAGTAACATCCTGAATGTAATTCAAATAAAATGGATTAATTATTTGTATAAAATATGAATATAAATAGATTTTACTACCTCATATGTTGGAAACTAATCCATTGTTGAGATTAAATGCAAAAGTTTGTCTGACAATTCTTGAAGAGATTGAAAACAACAATCTTTAAATTGAAAGATTAATTAAAAAAATCTTGATTAGAAAATAATTAGCCTTTAATACATCAGAAGAATAATAGTTAGATAAAAAGAGTGAAGAGAAATTGTAAAAATGTAAGTTTAGACAATCAATCGATGTCTAATCAAAAAAGAGCTTGGATGAAATTTCTGTGTTTTCTAAAAATGTCATGTTACAAAATTAATAAAGGGTTATACTTGCTTAGAAGAAATAGCCTTGATATGTTTATGATTCTTTTGTATTTCAAAATATTAAGTGTTAATTTTATTTATGTTACCATTCAATATGTATATATCTCAAAAGAATACATCTTCATCAGGTTATTCTTCTGCCAACATATCATAACTCTCTCTCTCTTACCAATTCATATCCTCTACTTCTAATTATCTTTTAGCTGTTTCTTAATTTTGCTTTTCAATTATTTTTCTCTTGTTATCAAGCACTTTCTTCAATCTAATTCATAATTCTAAACTAAACCTGAAAAAATCTTCTTTTGACATTTCATCCAATTCCATATCAATGTAATTCATAGTAGCTATGAATCTAGGGATGACGACATATTCAAGAGCATTTACTCTTCGATTTGTAACTTTAATAACTTGATCTAATGAAACAAAAGAAGTCTTTAAATACTATATATTTTCTTACTTAATATGATGCAATTTTAACAAGAAGTATTAACAAATCTTTAAACTTATCTCTGCATCTTTGAATGGATTGACCACCTCTGGCCAAACCTATTTGACTCATACTTGAATCTGAATCATCAACTTCTCGAATATTTACTTCAGGCAACATGACACCTGCAATGTTTTCACTTGAGATTTCCAATCTAATTGTTGCTCTCTTTACAGCATCCTTAACATTTTAGCTATTTTTAATACTCATAATACTGGAATTCGCCTGCAGCATATTAAGCTTTTGCGATTAATAATAAAGCTTCTTATGCTTCGTCACCCATAAATTTCTTGTTCTCCAATAAAGCAACCATCACTATTCTGAACTTAGTTTTCAAAGCATCACATTTTTTCTTTAACAATTCATGACCCTTCTTTGCTGAGACAATCTTAGCCTTGTATAAAGCTAAGTTCATTCTACTAGGAACCACTTGTTCTGCCATTTTTTAATATCAATTTTAATAAAATTAATTATATTTATATAAATATCCTTCATAAACAGAAGATTTAAAGTTCATATAACGCATCTAAGAATAAGTTTTTTGGAATTTAAGAATAATACAGATTATTTATAATTTATTGTAAATAATAACATTATCTTAACTGTTACCCATACATGATAAAATTTATAATAATATATATATATATATATAGATAGCAAAAATTCAGTAAAACTTCTGTTTTAATAAATGAATTGTTGAATATGAATCTTTCCTCATTTTAGTAGGTTTTTTAATTTGGTTTTTAGTGGTTTAAGGTAAGAAAGTTGGACATTTTTTTGGTTTAAATGGACACTCCACACTTTATCTCTATTATTGTATGGCCTCCCTCACTTTGATAGTTTATTTTACTTAATTTAACCAACGAATTTGTCTGTCATAAAAAACAAAGTTTTTTGGGGATGAATAAGTAGATTTATGTTTTGAGCTACTGTTAACAAAATTTTAATTTTTTTCTGGAGAGCCTTAGAGTGTGTTGAAATTGGTATCAATGGAAATCAAGGCTCTTCTTGTTTGTTTCTTTTGTTTTTATGCCTATAGAAGATTAGAGAAATTTTAGAATGGGTCCACAACGTTTTCTTATTTTTATGACTGTGGAATCTGATTAGGTTAGTAGTTTTCAGTTTCTCTATTCTAAAAGCTATCTTCTCCTTGAATAATGTAATCATGAGCTATTTCATATAAAGCAGACCGAAGCATTAATTTAACAACTATTTATTAATATTATGGGATGTCTTTTCGGAAAATAAGAATAAACGCAAAACAGATATCAGATGAAGGAATATGACAAATTTAAAGTTCTGCAATTAAGTATAATGAATGGTTAATATCATCTAAGTTCAAAGTAGTGAAGAGATGTTTTTAATTTTTAATCTTTAGGTATATTTATTACTAAATAGGGTGCATGGTATATGAAATATTTAAACTTGTAGGAATCACTGGATTTATTAGAAATGTGATGGCAAACTTCTTTAATTTTTAAGTATTTACAAAATCATTACATTTTTTCTTAGGTTAAGTACATTAAGATCAGCAGATATTGTCACAATTATTTCCAATAAACAAACACAATTTTTAATTAGTAGTAATAAATGCAAAATACATATCAAGCTGAGCAATTTGCCTAAGCCTTTGTTTTACTAAATAATATAATCTGATGAAGCTTTTTTAAAAAAGAACATGATCAATAAAGAAGAAGTATTTAATGAACAATACTCATGTTTTGATGAATCTGATATTGAAATGGAATAAGAGCCAGAAATTGATCTAGCAAATCAATCATTAGACCTTTCTGATATTGACAACAATAACAATAATGTATCTCCAATAAAGAAGGCCAATTTTGATGATGATTAAATTAATCATTAAAAGTTAATCTTAGATTACTTGGATCATTTTTGTCCTCAAACAGAAGACTAATATTATAAATGGTTAATAAGCGAAAAAGTAATTTAATATCTCCAACAATCATTATATATCAATTTATGGTTTAATAGATTGGATATAGAAGAAAAATTTGTTTGGCAGAAAACTAATAATAATTCATTTGTGAAAAGAAGGTTTTAATTGATTGAAAACAAATTGCTCATTCTTTTAGGTTCAGAAAATTAGGATATTATTGGTATTTAATAATATAATTATAAGAACTAATCCCTTTAATATATTCAAATATACAAGAAGTTTAAAAACAATAATATATAAATAAATTTGGAATCTCTATTAAATGTGATAAAATAAAGATAGATGTCTAATTGTTTTTCGATAGTCTAATAGAATTGCATTAACTTTATTGTCCTTATTCTTAAAAATATTAAATTCTAAATAAAAATAATAAATCACATTTTGAATGTGTTAACAAATCATTAGGATTAAAATTATCAATACAACAATTCTAAATTGATAATAATTCTATTTCAAATTTAATAATTCATGATTCATTATCTAATTTCAAAGGAGTAATTAAATGTCATGAAATTCAATTTGAAAATAACACAAATATATACTAAATTTGTGAAAATATCCCATTTACACTAGATGAATATCTATAATAAATTAAGCAATTAAGTGGTATTTCAGTTTTTATATGTTTAGAATTCCAAATCAGATTGATTGCCAAATAATTCCTGGTTATATTTAATTATATTCATATGATGGGAGTGATAATTGTTTGCTTGAATCCTAATTAAATAGGAGTAATTCCAAATAAATAAGAGCCAGATTCAATTGAGAAGATCGCCATTTGCAACTTCAACTATTCCACCTACTAATTTAAACTTTATAATAAACAAAAATTATCTGAATTTGCGGCACCTGAAGTAACAACTGGATAAATATTTGACGAATCAGTCGATTCCTATTTATTATATAAATTATTGATGTTTATAATAAGAGGATAGCAGTTATCTCCAAACTTTAAGGATTTGTTGAGTAAATTGGAGAAGAGAGTTCCAATTAATAAGGTCCTGTAACATGATGTATTTAAAGATGAAACAATAACTACAAAAGCAATTGAAAACATGGTTATATTAAAGAACTGATTAATTAAAATGAATAAAATACAGCAGATATATTATAAAATCAATCTTTTTTTCTAATCTAATTTCTCCAAATATTCTTATTTCTACCTTTTTTTAAGATAATGAGCAATAAGCTATGTGTAAAACACATAATTGAATTAATTTGTTTATATTAAATTAAAATAATTAAATGAATAACAACTCATATTAATCATATAAACCATATTCTAGAGTTCAGCAATAAACCTATAATAATACTTAGATCCTTTCATATGTTGAGTAGGTTCTCCAAAAATCTAGAACTAATTACAATTAACACAAGTAGCCAGAATCAAATCTCAAACCTAATTCAAATTAACAAAATATCAATACTGATCCTGATTGTAAAAATATTATACATTCACCCAAAATAAAACCATAAGAATTGATCGTTGCTTAGAAATAAGACATCACTCCTAAAAAAAATATTCCCCTTCATCAATCTTAATAACTTATCGATAGACAACCATTAATTCCGTTAATTCCGCTTATGTAAAATTTAAAAGAATAGTATAAATAAGTACACTTAATTCTTAAATTAGAAATAAGCCTTATTATAACAGTCACCACCCAAAAGGCAAGAAGATCGCTTTAAGAATTTTAAAATACTAAAGAAACTTGGAGATGGAAAATATAGCGAAGTTTTTCTAGCCATGCATTAATAAACAGGATTTTTAGTAGCTTTAAAAGTTATTCAAAAAAAATAAATGGTTGAAGAAATAATGGAAGCTTAATTGGCTTGGGAGATTAAAATTCAATATCTACTTGATCATCCAAATATCACTAAATTGTATACATTTTTTTAAACTTGTAATTAAATTTTTTATTATTTATTTAGAAACTGAAATCGTTTTGGTTTTAGAGTATTGTTCACATGGCTAATTGCTTAGTCTCCTCTAAAAATAACCTAATTAAAAATTCTAAGAAAAAGAGGCATCAAATTATGTCCATTAAATAACTTTTGCATTGATGTACATACATAATAATGATGTTATACATCGAGATATTAAACCAGATAATATCCTCTTAAGTTTTGGCTAAGCAAAAATTGCTGACTTTTCATTTTGCGTCTACTCTCCTCATGCTTATAGATAAACATAATGTGGGACTATCATATATGCTTCACCCGAAATCCTAGAAGGAGATATGTACGATAAAAAAAGTGATATTTGGGGTCTGGGTGTCTTAACTTATGAATTATGTTTTGGTAAACCTCCTTGGAAAGAGCACTAACAAGAATTAATGAAAACTGTAAGTCTCATTTTACAACTATTATTTAGGCATGCTTTTTAATACCTTCTTCAGCATCTAAGGAGTTAAGAGAATTTATCGAAAGTTTAGTTAAAAGATTATCCAGAGAAAGATTAACTGCTAAATAAGCTTATAACCACTCCTGGTTATAATAAGCTTAATAAATACTGCCGCAATTTATCCAAGAAAATATTATCATATTTAATTGATGTTTTAACTAAGTCTTTACAAAAATATAAATTTCATAAGTTGTCCATCAATTAGCTCTTTTTCATTTATTTTATTCTTTCATGTTCTCTTAAATGGTTTGGTAAATCCTGTCATTCCTGATTTATATATTTTCTTTAATTAAGTATTTGCATTTTACACTTCGCATTTATGCAATTTATCATTCATTCATTATTTTTAAGAACCAAAGTTCCAAGATAAAATTTATGTACTTTTTAAGAACTTGCAAATCTAATTTATTTTATTTAAATATCGATCTTGATTAGGAGTATCAATTATCATATATTTGCAATGTTAATTGAGTTTGATTTCTTAGTTTCTGATTTTGATAAAGAAGATAATGAATAAATATGCTTTTTCTTATGATGCTTTCGATTTCTTTTCGATTGTTTTCATTTTTCAATTTTTTTAATTTTTATAATCATCTAGCAATTTAATTTCCTTAAAATATAGCGTAATTAACTTTAATATGAACAACTATAATTTATGACAACTTATAAAATTTTGGCTTTACCTGGATGGGAAAATGATGGATTCATTTTGAAAAAACACATGGGAGAGTTACATAATTTGATCTCTAAATATGTAGAAATTGAGTATCTAGATCCTCCCTATGATGTCTCAAAAAGTATGTTTCCCCTTCCACCTTTATTAGACACTTAAGGAAGTAATCAGATCTAATTAATGTATAGGAAAAGTTTATAGATGGGGGAATTACTATTTAGACATGTCAGACGACATTGAAAAAATAAAAAATAGAATTCTTTAAAATCCAAAGATTATCGGGTTGATGGGATTCTCATAAGGGGTCTTTATAATTGGAGAAATCGGATAACTAGCTCATACAGATTTACAATTAGCTAAATAACTTAGGTTTCTGATTTGCTTTTCATCTAATGGAATTAAACCTAGAAAAATTCACTATGATAAGAAAAATCTAATTACTATACCTACACTTCAAACTATAGGTTCAAAGGATTTTGCTTACTTAGAATCAATTATTTAAACAACAGAATATTTGAATTCTCAAGTTATTTGGACAGAAGCAAGTATTTTAGAATGCTAAATTTAGCTCATAGAGTACCAATTTTAAATTATGATTAGAAAATTGAGTTAGCAAATTTTATTTCTAATAAATTAGATCAACCTAAATTATGAATAAATAGAAAATAATGTTTATGTATATATATTAGTTATTTCGATTTCATTCAAAAATTTAATTATATATATATATTTTAAATTAGCATATAATAAACTTCATATCATTATATATGCAAGGCCCCTGTTAAGATGTTATAATTTTTGTATTTAGGTCTCAGCTATTGGAATGAGGAATCTATTATCTCAATTGGCTGAGGTAGAGATTTCTTTGACTGTTTTGATTTTGGAGTTTATGTTTTACTTTGATGTATGTAAGAGTATCCAGGACCTTCTTGATGAAGGGGATTGATGAATTATTTAGATTTCTTTGATTATTTTGATTGTTTGGAAGATTATGAGAGTGGTGTCTTTAAAGGTGTTTAAACATGTTATTATGGTCTAATCACTTGATTAGAAATTTGATTTGGATTATAAGTTTACTCTTATTGGAGTTACTACTATTACAATTACTAATATTTCATCAAATCCTAATCGAGCAGATGCAATTATTTATTCCTTTCTTATGCTTAATAGTTGTCTGAATATATATGAGGGAGTTTATGTTGACCGTTATCAGATAATTTAATATTATATGATTCTAAGGATGAACTATGGCCGATTTATCTTCTTTAGTTTGATAATTCATAATTATCATTCTCATATTACTTATGCATAT